CGGGGTCAGGGGCAATGGATTAGCACCAATGAATTGGGGGCGGAGGCCGACGGAGAACCAAGACTCTTGTAGCCGCATTTATCTTCACATCTTAGACAACCCTACTGGATGTTTCTTGGAGTGTTGCTCTGGGGGTACCATTGCACGTGTTTGACGCCAAAAAAAAAGTGTCTCCAGCATTTCTGGTTTTTGAGTAGCGACTTCTGTAGAAACACTGCAAGGCGACCCACGGCCGGCCGCGGGCGGTGGGCCGCAACCGACGATTCCGATGACTACACGCGGTGGGGCCGACACCGTTACCTTATCGGAGCCCTAGCAGCGCAAATATGCAGTCAAACACAGAAAGCCGCATAGCATGGTACTCAGAATCAAACAAGGAAACGCCTGTAAGTTTCATTTTGCTAGCTTGGTCTTGTGCACATGAACGTATAAAACATAAAGCGTTAGATTTTTGGGAAAATTTGACCTTGACCTGGCCTATTGAAGTTAATTACTGAGCTAGCAACACAATACGTATCACCAATGGCAAGCCCTCATTGAGATCAACCCAGTTATTTTTCCGCCAACCTCTATTTTTTGGTTTGGAAATGGGAGAGGGTGGTCACATCGACCCACTATCAGTCCAAGTAAGAAAAACGGCGAAATGAATTTAACTCGCTGTCTTCTGCATCACGCGTGAGAATAAATTTTGTTAATAAGAAAGCTGTTCATGATTTCGAAAATTGCATTGTGCATATATCAAAAGCATGCGCACCAGCTGAAGGCTGCCTTATATCTACGTGTCTGCTTAATGCCGGCCAATTTGCTTGCTTTATATGTTATGTTTTATTTTCTTCTCACACTTACTGCTATATCTCCTGTAGATGACCCTGCAATGTAGACCTGAATAACTATAAAAGCTGTAAAAAACATTGACTGTATATTGGCCCGTGCGATACATGACATGAAATGTCAACAGGGGACTATCGTGCAGATGTACTCTGCAGATTTCGGGTTGCCTTATCAGCTACCTAACAAATTCATTCTTCTTTCTCATCGTCATCGTTGATGGCCAAGTCGTCAATAACTATGTCTTTTTACACGCACGTTAAGTGTGGGGCACCGTTGAAATCCCGTTCATCAACAGTTCTGCTATTTGTAAGACTGAAGGACTGCACTCGCTCTGTAGCCATAGCCCGCTCGCCTAGCAGCCACGGTCTCTGCGTACGGTCACAGTCACCTCCCAACACGGTCAGAGTCACCCACATTGTGCTCGCATGCGCCATGGCCCGTGTCCACAGACACCCCCGCCATCCGTGGGATCCATTCCGCCCCATCTGGCCCCCGGCGCCCCTCCATCATCCTGGGCCCAGCCGCCTCCCTCATTCGACCGGCAGTCGACGCCAGGTGCCGCATTTGTGACGCGGCCCACGCGCGAGCCAAACACCCCATTGAGAGCAGATCGCCGCCGCCTCTGAAAGGCCTCTATTAGCCGAGTGAGTGATTGCGTTTTTCCTCGGCGCCTGGCGGTGACGGCCCAGCGCGCGGCCCGCGCAGAAGAGCCGCGGCGGAAGATGACGGCGCGACGGCCGGTGCATCGAAGCCGAGCGCCCGCAGATCGCGCTGTCCGCACGCAAGCGCCCAAAGCTGTCGGATCGATCCATCTGTCAGAGCCGCCAGCTCCTCCAGCAGAAATGTGAACGTTTGGGTTTGCCCTTGCGTCTAGAAGAATCGGAGGGGGGGGGGGGCGATTTTTACCGGCTAACACCGATGTAATAACACCGGATGTCTGCCCTCAGTGTGGTATGGTGTGTGTTGTTTTTTATGCTCTTTTATCGCCAACAGAACGGCACTTCACTCTCAGGTGAAGTCGCTTAAATAAAATACAACAAATCCACGGCACACAGAAGTGTGAAAATAACTAAATGATGACATGTCTCAAAGTTGAGTGAAGACGCTGCAGAGTTTAAACAGACTTATCACATGACCTCTAAAAGAAGACGGGCTGCGTTCATGCTTTAAGTCTGCGGTTTAAAAAGACAGCGGGCGTCTTGGCTACGGTCTGCTTATCCGTCTTTATTCATGAGTACTCGAAACCCAAACGGTTCTTGAATTTCCCCTTCGTTATGTGATTTTATACAGCCTATACTCGTGGTACAGCGAGTTGGAGACGTCTAGCAGCGTTCCAGCAATTCTACAAATCAATTGGTCGGACAGTGCATAAAGCAAAAAAAAAAGACAACAAAAAACAATAAACAAAACGATGCAACCACCATGTCTGGCAATCAGACCAGACATGCTTTCGGGGCTATAAATTCAAGGCATTATAACTAAAAGTCTTTGTACTGAGCTATCGATCTTCAAATATACAAGAGATACTGGTTAAACGACCGTTGTAGATGAAACAGTTTATATGCTATTGAGAAGCACTCATACACTTGGTACTCGTTGGGTTGTTAGAAAACGGC